ACTGCATATGAAGTATCATTAAAGGAGGAACTCCACAGCCTTTTGATTAAATAATTAGCAATCAATATGGCTTTACCCCAATATGACTACTCAGACCAGAACTTTATTCAATGTTTGAACAGTCAGGAAATTTATCATTAGCTCTAGGTTGGATGTTTCTTTGATAAATTTCCATCCATTGCTTCTTGTTCTCCCTTCAGGTGCTTTGGGGAATAGGCGGACTCCCTCTTCTTTCCAGCAGCCCCGAAGGTATTGGAATATCGTTTACGTCACCCCTAATACTTCTCTTTATTAAATAATAGCAATAGCAGTAGACTTATATACCGCTTCATAGGCCTTTCAGGCCTCTCTAAGCGGTTTACAGAGAGTCAACCAAGTGCAAACTATACCCAATTCCTGCCTCCAGTCCTCTATTCATCTTTCTTGCTCTTCTGTACACTCTTTCTAAAGTCTCAGAAGTTTTTTTATATCATGGTGATGCAATATTCCAAGTGTGGTCTTACCAAGGCATTATAAAGTGGTATTAATATTTCACATGATTTTGAATCTATTCTTCTGTTAACTTAGGCCAGGACTTTGTTGATATTTTTGGGCAACTAAATAAATTATGTCCACAGCATTTTACTGGTCCTGTTAGCCATGGAAGCCATATTTAATTTAATTTAATTTAATTAATCACATTTATATGTCGCCCAATCCCAAAGGACGCTGGGATATTTTTCTTTGGAGCTTCAGGTCTGTCATATTTAGTGCTTGGAAAATGGGAGGGAGGATTTCAAAGAGTTGGTAGAGGATTAGCCTTCTTTTGTTGGGGAATGTTACTTGGAACCCTGACATTAATTCGAATCTTCTTTTAAAACTCTAACCAGCTCCTTGTTCACCAGGGTGCTGTCCAGGGTCCTGAGCACTGAGCACCGACCTGTCACCTGGGTGGTATAAAGACTCAGGGAAGATAATGGAGGGGAAGGCAATAACTGAGGAAGGAGCTACTGGAACCAGCACAAGGGTCTCCGTGCTCGGAGACCAATGGGAAGCCAGTGCAGCTCGCGGAGGATAGGTGTAGTATGGGTGTACCACTCGCGTGGCTGCGTTCTGGACTAATTGTAGTCTCCGAACACTTTTCAGGGGCAGCCCCAAGTAGAGTGCATTACAGTAATCCAGTCTTGAGATGATGAGGGCATGAGTGACTGTCTGAAGTGCCTCCCGGTCCAAATAGGGCCGCAACTGGTGCACCAGGCGAACCTGGGCAAAGACCCCCCTGGTTACAGCCGACAGGTGGTGTTCCAAAGTCAGCTGCGGGTCCAGGAGGACCCCCAAGTTGCGAACCCTCTCTGAGGGGAGCAGATTTTCTCCTCCCAGGATTAAGGACGGACTAGATGGACTGTCTTTAGGAGGCAACATCCACAGCCATTCGGTCTTGTCAGGATTGAGTTCGAGTTTGTTCACTCCCATCCAGACCCTAACAGCTTCCAGGCACTGGCGCATCACTTCCACTGCTTCACTGAGTTAGCACAGGGAGGACAGATACAACTGAGTGTCATCCGCATACTGGTGGTATTTAATCCCGTGCCGGCGAATGATCTCACCCAGTGGCTTCATGTAGATGTTAAATAGGAGGGGGGACAAGACTGACCCCTGCGGCACCCCATAATTGAACGGCCTAGGAGTCGACCTCAGTCCTCCGACCAACACCGACTGCGACCTATCAGAGAGGTAGGAGGAGAACCACCGTCGCAGAAGGATACCATGGTCGATGGTATCAAAGGCCGCTGAGAGGTCAAGGAGCTCAAGGACAGAGGAATGCCCTCTGTCCCTGGCCTGCCAGAGATCATCGGTCAGTGCGACCAAAGTGGTTTCAGTGGAGTAACCAGGCCTGAAACCAGACTGAAAAGGGTCTAGATAATCTGCTTCATCCAAGGTCCGTCGGAGTTGGAGGGCCTCCCTGCTTCCCCCAGTGGGCAGAGTGACAGCTTCCTCTGGAACCAGGGCAGCAGAGTAACCAGAGCCAAGGCGGTTACTAGAGCCAGCTACCCACCATCACCAAATGTCTTCACACTTCAAATTTCCCCAGGCTGGGCTTTCTACTGTGGTGCAATGGATGCTGGTGCCGGCACTGCAGCAAGCCCGGTTCCACCACCCACTCCACTTCCCATTTCCAGTCTGTGGCATCAGGGCAGGGGGTTCCATCACCTGATCTTTGACTTTATTTTGGGTGGGGAAAAACCCTCAACTTTCAGATTCAGGTTTTTTCCAAATGTGCCAATATGACATCTCATATCAGACAGGGTAGTCCAATTCATGGCAAACTTCTGGAGAGGAATTCCTAAAGGCTATTGGGTCATTTCAAGGACTCAGCTCAGCTTTTCATCTGAGTATGAATGGGACAGCGGAATGAGCTAATGCAATGATAGAACAATATTTAAGATGCTATGTGGACTACTAGCAGTCCAATTGGACAGAACTACTGCCTTTTGCAGAGGTGGTATATAACAATGCAGTACACAGCAACATGGGACTATCTCCTTTCCAAGTCACAATTGGGTCCCTCTCTACCAAATGTGTTCCAAGGAAAAGAAGGCGGACCTACAGCCCCAAGCCAATTTCTGGTGGGCGTGGTAAAAAAATAACGATGCATCAACCACTGCACTTTGAGCACTGCCACCATCACAGCTGCAGACTTTATTTGATAAGAAACTTCAAAATATAAAGATACTTAGTGCTGCTTAGTGTGTCGGGGGGCAGTGGTGGGATTCAAATTTTTGTGGGTGTGGCTTAGGGGGACATGGCTTAGGGGCATGGCCAGGTGATCATGTGACCTATTGGGCATGGCCATGTGGTCATGTGACTGGGTGGGTGTGGCTAGGTGGTCATGTAACCAGTGGGTGTGGCTAGGTGGTCATCTACAGGCTACAGTTCATGGAAACAGGAGCAAAGAGGGCAAATTCTTGTCATGGCCAAGAATGAAATTCCTTTTTAAAAATGTTTTTATTAGCTGAAAGAATGACATCAGAATTCTTATTGCCATCATCGGGGGGAAAACCCACAGAAAATAATTGATATTTTTCTGAACAGGATTGCAATTTCCTGCTGTCCATGGATACCAAGCCAGGTCAGTCACTGGCGGATGTGTAAAAAAATAAGATAAGTAACTTCCTGATCAAAGCCTTCAACCCCTTTGTCGAAAGCCTGCTGTCACAAATGGCAATTACACGACCCCAGGACAGTGCAACGGTCATAAATATATGCCAATTCACCAACAGCCAAATTTTGATCATGTGAGCATGAGGATGCTGCAATGGACATAAATGCGAGGACAGGTCATAAGTGTGAGGAGTGTGTCATAACTGACTTTTTTTCAGCCCTCTGAATAGTCCCTATGTGTAGGGAAATAAACTCAGCCGGTCCTCGACTTATGACCACAACTGAGCCCAACATTTCTGTTGCTTAAATGAGATGGTTGTTCAAAGTGAGTTTGGGGTATATATAGGTTGGTTTTCACAACTACAAATACAATCAAGATATGGGAGAGATATGGGAAAGATAAAAGGGAGTATGGTTTTAACTTGGGAAGTTCAGAGTTGGATAAGATACTTATGGAAACGGAAGAAAGAATAATCAAGAAACTATATAGTTATCTATTTAGAATTAGGCTAGAAGAAGAAGTGGTTAAAGAAACAATGTTAGCTTGGGCAAAGAACTTTGGTTAGTTAGAAAAATAGCAACAACTATGGTAAAGGAACTATAAATTAACCATGTCAACAACTTACAAAGAAAATGTTTTATAGATGGCACATGTCACCGGAAAAATTAGCAAAGATTTTTAAAGACAAGTAAGCAAAATGTTGGAAATGTCAACAAGCAACAGGCTCATATTATCATATGTTGTGGACATATGCAGAAGCAAGGAAATATTGGACTGAAATAAGAGCATGGCTAGAGAAAATGTTATAACAAGAAATAGAAATAGAATTTCTATTTGATTATACATGTAGCTACAGCAGCGAGAATTGTATTTGCCCAAAATTGGAAATTAAATAAGTTGCCAACAGATGTAGAGATAATAAAAAAAAATAGATTGTGCAGAGATGAACAGGTTGACATTGAAAATAAAGGATAAAGAGGAATCGGTGTACTTCAAGACATAGGGAAGATTTTATAATTGGCTGGAGAAAGGAAGCTAGAAAAGAAAATAAGGGGAAGATACAGAACCCAGATAATACACTATTAAATGAGAAGGGGGGAGAAGAGGGGGAAAAAGAAAAGAAAGTATAAATATACAAGGGTATATTCAAGAGCAAGATATAAATGGGGAAAAGGCATAGTTAGGATAGATTAGCGAAGGTATTGGAATAAGAAATGATACTATATTCTATTTGGATCTGCGAAAATACCATCCCAGAAAACATAAAGTGAGATTTGAAAGAGACACCTATAACAACAGAAAATGAAAGGGAGAGAGGAGGAGAGAATGAGAGGAAGAGGAGGGAAAGAAGAAAGAGGTAAGGAGAGGAGACTGGAAAGGAGAGAAAGAGAAGGAGAAAGGGTAGGAAGGGGAAAAGGAAGAGTAGGAGTAGGGGAGAGATAAGGGAAGAAGGAAGGGGAAGGAGAGGAGGAAGGAAAAAAGTAGAGAAAGGAGGGAGGGAGAAAAGAAAGGGAAAATAAGGTAGTGTTACAACAGGCAGAAGGGATGGTAAATAAAGCAACCCAGTGTGTATTATAATCGATTAAATGGAATAACAAATGTATAAGAATGACAAATGTAAAGAAGAACAACAATTCTGTGAATGTATACTTAAAATGGTATGCAAGAGAATAAAAAATGAATTGTAAGTTAGGGCTGGGATTGCTTTTCCCAGCAGCGCCGGCATGGTTAAGTCAACCAGCCAGGGTGTCAGCGGTCCAGAAAAACCCAACTCCAATTAAAAACTCTGAGACAGGCATTTTCTCAAAGTTCCCATTTATTAGAGTAGGTGTACAGGCACATTTGGGAAAACCCGAATATGAGAGTTCCAGGTTTTTCCTCAGTAAGTGAAAAGTCCAAACCCAGCCACTGCACCCCTCAGTCCATCACATGTTCCGATCCCAACCCCTCCCAACTCAAGACATCACTCAACCCCCTCCTCCTCCTCCAGGTGCAGGAATGCCATGATCTCAACTGAAAAGAAGAATGCTATTTTGTCTAACTACCATTCCCTCTACCAACTCCCCCCCTCCTAATTTCCCAAGCACAAGAAAGTGGCAGTGTGGAAGCTTCCACTGTTAATGCGGCTTCCAAAGCTGACACAGGGATTGTGGCAGCACCTACTGGTCCCTGGTTGATTCGACTGGTGCTTGCTTTTCACAGTGGTGGCAGCAGCAGTGGGTAGGTGGAGTCGACTGGCCAAGGCTTTTGGTGGCAGTAGCAGCACCTGCCGGCCCCAGGTCGACTCAATTACTACTTGCTTTTCCCAACGGCGGCACCGACAGATAGGCCAGCCCGTTAGATTCAACCAGCCGGGGCTTTCGGCAGTGAAGCTTACAGTGGCTGGCAGCACTAGCAGGCAAGGTAGGGGATGTTGGGGGGAGATTTGTAGCTAGGCCGTGCACCACATGTGATGGAGATGTGGCAACAGCAGAGCTAGCAGGCAAGGCTGGGGATATTGGTGGGGGGGGGGGGGTGGCAGCACAGCGGCAGCGGCCTAGGCCGGCCTGGGAGTTCACTTCAACTAGGCCTTGCTTGCAGGCTCACATGAAGGAGATCAGGACTGCAGTGGAAATCAGGCAGCAATGGCAGGCAAACCCAGGCAGCAATGTTATGGTGGGTCAAGTCAGGTTAGCAATGGCACAGCGGGTTAGTGGGCAACAAGATAATGAGTGACTTGTCGGGAAGGGGCAAGAAAGGGTGGGAAGGGGAGGGGTGGTGCATTTTACCAGTTCTCCAAACTGTGCAAACTCAGAATCAAATGAGTCTTCCTCAACAGTTTCTGGAGATAAGACACCATGATGAAGGACAGCAGAAATCAATACCCTCAGTGTTGACCAATTTTCCACCACCATCATTTTCTGGACCTGTTCTGACAGGAAGGACCTTAGCACCTTCAGGTGTGTATTTGTGATTTTTCACTTAAATGTTATTCTTCGGTTGACCCTGTATACTTGTAATCTTGGAAGAACTTCAGGATCCCCGGAGGAGAAATTATTTCTCATTGTAATTATCACTATGCTGGTCTTTGAAATGTCATTTACTACTTCTATAGTGACTGTCTTGGATGGAAGCATTAGACTGACGCACATGGAAGGTATCTTACATCAGAAAAGGATAAATGCCACAGATCAGTCTCATTGCGGCAGAAGTTTTAGGGCAGGAGAGATTGTGCTCTTGGATGTACCTTTCTCTACTGTTTAGGTAAAGATTGGTTTGTCTCTGTCTGAATCAGAAAAATGTGGATGCTTTCAATTCTTCTAATTCTTCTTGTTCTTTGAGATTGATTCAGCCTTGCAAATTATGGATCTTTTGCTTCTGATGCTGTTGGTGTCTCAGGCAGTTTCTGTGGAGGTTAGAAAGACATGCCCACTGAATTTTGAGATCCGGGATGAGAAAAAACCATGGAACTATTACAGGCCAGGAGACCATTTCATTGGTATAGTAACCTCAGAAACACACACTCCACGTGCAATTTGGCCTTTCAACATGGCTCCTTCTAGTCAATCTCACTCGTAAGTTGTTCAGGGTGATGGATCTGCATTCCTTCCATATGCAGATCTAACACTCTTATTTTCTTCTGTTTTCACTTACCTCTATATTGCTGGACCTGTCTAATTTCCTGAATAATTTTGATTTCCATGACATTCTTCTTTTCTGGGACACACTCAGATCCAAACCTGAGGCAAATAAAATCTGAAACAAGTCCTTATTATTTACCCATTCCCATCCAATGTGGAGTTCATCACTTGGATGTTGAGTTTGGCTGTGGTAGTGATTGAGAGGGTTATAAATGCCTTTGCCCATCTGATTTCCAGATTAATATAACCACTCATTTATATTCAATGCTTGATTCTTAGAGGAATAGAGGATGACTTCTTTGTGCAGTTGCTTTTCTGGGTCTCTTATGAAACATCCTCTTCAGTTTATGGTGGTTGTATTTAAATAATTGGGAAATTTTGAATACAGGTTACTGGGCAAATGAAAATTAGGACTGCTACAAACAATAGTGTATTTGTGATTCTTAACAGATTCCTAATTTTTTCCATCCCATCTTCTCAATGCTCATAAAAGATACATGCTAATAGGTGGCTATCATGTGCCTTTGGCTTTGGATTGGTATTGGCTTAAGACACAGTAGACTTGTGGAGACAAAGAGGGTTACATTGAAAAAAAAATCTGTTGATGATTATGGTAATAACATAAACATTTTTAATAGGCTGTCAGGTTATTTTAAAGTGCTAGTCCTGATTTTTGCCGTTCAAATGGTCAACAAGAATCACCAGCTCCTGCACAATCTCACCCTTGGCTACAGCATCCATAACAACTATTTCAACACCTTTGCTACTTCAGAAGCCTTGCTAGACATGCTCTCTACTGGACAAGCCAATGTTCCCAACTACAGCTGTGGAGGGAAGGAAAACATTTTGGCTCTTGTTGATGGAGCTAAACTGGAACTCCCCATGCAGATGTCTACATTAGCAAACCCCTACAAAGTCCCACAGGTTGGTGTTCTTTTTCTAGTTGGCAAAGTGAGTAACGAGATTGTGGGTGAGTGATAGATCCAGCCGTATTTTGTCTTCAAGAGCTCTTTTTTCACTATAGTCTTTACAGGTATCATGGCTGTTGTTTGGGATATACAGTGGGGAGATGTTACCATCCCCATTGCTTTTGGGGGCTTCTACTGCATACTTATGACAGTGAGAAGAGGCTTTGTGTCCAGTCAAAAGTTCTTTGGTAAAAATTGAAGGTGCAGCACTGAGGATATGTTTTATGCAAAATTTTAAACAAGATAATGATATTTTCCATGGTGAACAATTATGGGAATCATGAAAAGAATCCCAATAACTATCTTGGCTACATTCAATATATGACTTTTGGACTTGTTCAGACCAGAGCATTAATCAACACTAAAATAATTACAAGCACTTTAGCCAAAATGTCATCTATTGTACCCCTTCATGTATTTCTTATAAAAATCATAGTAGAAAATTTGATGACAAATGAAGGCACAGAAACAATTTTCCAATGGCTGAACGATTTAAAAAAATCCCAATTGATGTAGTCCTCTACTGACAAGTTCATTTACAGATATAAGTAGTATCTATTATACACACTTTTGTGGAAGATGGCAATATTCCTATTAATGAAAAAGGAATAAAAATGAATGTTAAAAGAAGTTTCAGTTTTTGCATGTCTTTACACAAAAGGAAAAAAAAAACCCTAGTACCATTACAAAAAAAAGATTATGAATACAATAGGGAAGAAAATAGTAAGAGAGCACTACCCTAGATAAGTTCAAATCATCAGGATCAGGTGGATTGCACCCTAACGTTCTGAAGGTACTGGCTGATGTGATCTCAGAATCACATAACTATATCTTTCAAAGATCCTGGAGCACCCAGGAACTAGCAAATGACTGGAAAACAGCTGATGTAGTTCCCAACTTCCAAAAAAGAAAAAAAGAAAGAAATATTGATATAGGAATTGGATCTACCAGCCTGACATCAATACCTGGGAAAAGTCTGGAAAAGAAAATCAAACAATGATTCTGTGATCACTTGGAGGCAAACAAAATCATAACCAAACATTAACAATGGTTTGTCAAAAACAGATAATGCCAAACAACTCTGATTGCATTTTTTGACAAAGTGACAAAATTAGTGGACCAGAGAAATACTGTAGCTGTATGCTGGCATTTGATAAATTAGGCCACAATCTACTACTTAATAAGAAAGAAAAATGTGGGTTAGACAGCATCACCACCAGATGGATTCATAACTGGCTGGCCAACCACACTCAATATGTAGTCCTCAGTGGGATTGCATCTACATGGAGGGAAGTACGCAGTAGGTTACACCAAGGTTGTATCTCAAGCCCAGTATTCTTCAACATTTTCATCAATGATTTGGATGAGGGAGTAGATGGGGAACTCATCAGATTTGAAGATGGCACCAAGGTGGCAGGAACAGCCAACACTCCAGAAGATAGGGTTAAGATACAGAAGGATTTTGACAGATTTAAACTTTGAGAGCTGTGTAACAAAATGAAATTCAATAGTGAAAAATGTAAGGCTCTACATAAAGGCAAGAAAACCCAAATGCACATGTATAGTACTGTAGGTGGTAACTGGTTTAATAGTAGTAACTGTGAGAGGGAATCCTAGTGGACAACGGTAAGAGCCAGCAATGTGCTACAGTTGCCAAAAAACCAATTCAGTTCTAGGCTGTATTAAGAGAGGGATGGAATCAAGATCACGTGAAGTGTTAATACCACTTCATAATGCCTTGGTAAGGCCTCACTTGGAATACTGCATCCAGCTTTGGCCACCACAATGTAAAAATGATATTGACACCCTAGAAAGAGTGCAGAGAAGAGCAACAAAGATGATTAGGGGATTGGAAGGTAAAATAAGTAAAAAAAAAGGTTTGCTGAAATTGGGTACCGTATATACTCGAGTATAGGCCGACCCGAATATAAGCCGAGGCACCTAATTTTACCACAAAAAACTGGAAAAGTTATTGACTCGAGTATAAGCCTAGGGTGGGAAATGCAGCAGCTACCGGTAAATTTCAAAAATAAAAATAGATACCAATAATGTTTTTGAATATTTATTTCAAAGAAAAACAGTAAACTAGCGGTGTATTCAATGAAATACTTCACTCACCTCATGATGCTGATGTCCCGCTGTGATGATGATGTCCCGTGCAGCCGCGGGAGCGATGTCCCGCCTCCTATGACACACGGCACAGTGATTCCTATCATTGGATCACTGTACCAGAGGAGGTGGGACATCGCTATGTGGCTGCTTGCCATAACAAGGAGGAGGTGGGACATCGTTGCAGAGCGGCAGGAGGGGGAGGAAGGGGAATCGTAAGACAGCCCTGCATTACATTAGAACGTGGGGAGGGGGGATGGTGCGGTGCGCGCTGCGCGGCAAACTGACACAGAGGGAGGGGAAACTCACAGGGGCACTGGGCCATTCACGAGTGTCACCCAGCGGCATGGCCCCGCCCCTTTTTCTCCTCCATTTCGGGCAAATTTTTCACTGACTCGAGTATAAGCCGAGGCGGCTTTTTTCAGCCCAAAAAGTGGGCTGAAAAACTAGGCTTATACTCGAGTATATACAGTATGTCTACTTTAATGAAAAAAAAGACTAGAGTGACATGATAGAAGTCTTCCAATATCTGAGAGGCTGCCACAAAGAAGGATTCAATCTATTCTCAAAGCACCTGAAGGCAGGGCAAGAGGCAATGGATAGAAACTAATCAAGGAGAGAAGCAACATAAAATTAAGAAGAAATTTCCTGACAGCGAGAACAACTAATCAGTGAACAACTTGCTTCCAGAAGTTGTGCATGCTCCAACACTGGAAGTTTTTAAGAAGATGTTGGACAGTCATTTGCTTGAAATGGTACTGGGTTTCCTGTCGGAGCAGGATGTTGGACTAGATGACATCTAAGTTCCCTTCCAACCCTGTTTATTCTGAAATCTTGCAATTACTGACCCATTTTTCTAATAAATATTGTAGTTCAAATGCATGCTAGCTTCCTCTGGAGTAGAGGTGAGAATGGGTAGATGAAAGGTTCAGTCCTTGCAGAAGAAAAAGCAGGGTTTAGACAGAGTTGATCCACTATCGGCAATTGCTTTGACTTTGTCATTTCAACCCTGAGCTACAAATATCTCCTTTACTGCAACTAGAAAATTAAATGAGTGCAGATCCCACTCCCTACTAATTATATAACCTAGTTTCATAATAAAATGTCTGAATGAAAACAAGCAAGCTCAGAGAGCACAGTTTAACCCTGAGCTACAAATATACTTCTCCATCAATTGTGTGATTATTAATAAATAAAAACTGAAATTTATGATCTTTGGAAATGACATCATAAAGATAGATGGCCGTTGAAAGATGGAACAGTAGTGTGAATTAACAATTTCTTATCTAGGGGTAATTTTCAATATTATATATCTATCTCTGTCTCTACCTACCTACCTACCTACCTACCTACCTACCTACCTACCTACCTACCTACCTACCTATCTACCTACCTACCTACCATTATGGTAAATTGGAAGAATGAAAGAGAAATATGATTTGCATTCTTTACTCTTATTCTTTTTAACTTGCTTTTTTAATTTTATTTTTATATAAGGACTTGTTAGTATTCTGTACTATCTTGTATCATAGCATTCTTCATTGCCTTTTCAGATCAGTGATGGAATCATTTCAGAGGCTCTCAATGATAAAAGTCAATTCCCTTTTTTCCACCGGATTCTCCCCCAAAAGGGGATCACCTATCCAGCCATTGTCCAAATTCTCCTCCATTTCAGATGGACCTTGATTGGACTCTTTACTTCAGACACAGAGGAGGGAGAGAATTTCATGAGGACCTTTACTACTTTGCTTGTCAGGAATGGAATTTGTGTTGTTATAGCACAACGATTCTCAGCAGCTGGACATACAATACCCCTCAGGGATGTCATCTCTAAGTGGAGACAAGTCAATGTGTTTGTGAACTACATAGAATATGTTAGACCATGGGACAGAATTCAAACTTTGCACCAAACATTTGAAACTATTCCAGGACCCATTGAAGGGAAAGTCTGGATCGTGGAAAGCATTGAGTATGTGGTATTGGCATTGGAGCCCTTTCACAAATATCTCCATAGTATTTGGTACTTTGCTTTTCAGGAAAAAAAAAAGACCAGAAGATGATGTCCTCGGAACCAAAATCTTTGTGCGTATGGAAGGTCGGGATTTTCACTGCTTTTATTCAAAGCATGTTTTTTCTGTCAAAGGACGGAAAAGATGCACCCAGAAAGAACCACTGAAGCCTCTTGTGGAAAGAAGGAGGAATTATATCTCATTTCAACTCCATTTACACAATTTTATTAAGACTCTGGCCTATGTCTTGAAAGCTGCATATTCTTCCAGATCCAGGAGGAGAAACAAAAAGGGTGAAGAGAGGCTGGGGGCTCCAAAGCTGCAGCCATGGCAGGTAGGGTGTCCCTAGCAGGTTCCATGAAAATGCAAAAGAGAGGGAGAGGAAGCTTCTCAAACTGCTTGTGCTACAGCTTGGCCAATCTCATCATTCAGGGTATAAAGTTGTGGGGATAGGAGACAAGAGGTTTTGGCTGACCCATCTCAAGACCAAATGCCTTTAGTTGTATGGATCTTCAGGATCCATTAATTTAACATCGTTAGTTCTGGTTTGGGTTGCACTACCCCTGAGAGAACTGTTTTGTAACTTTGGGATTCACCTGGACTTGGGACTGTTGCTCAAACAACAAGCAGATGGCAGTCACAGCTAAGGGAGCCTTTGCAGAACTCTGGGTTGTGTGCCAGTTCCTCCTTTTCCTGAATAAGAAGTTCCAGTCAGGGGTGAGATTCTATCGGTTCGGAACGGTTCAGGTTAACTCCGACAATCAGCTGGGAGTGAACCGGTTTGCCCTGACAATCAGATCGGCCCACCTGCCTGCCCTATTTTCCTACCTTTATCTTTTTAGCTGGTTCATATGGCAGAGTGGATTGCTGCACGAATCAGCTGTGTTACTCCTCTAAAGAAACCCGGAAGTGAAAATTTCTTCAAACTGTAAATGTGTGCACACTGCACATCAGGCACGGATGTGCATGAAGCGCGTGATGACCAAAACGGTTGTTAAACTGGGAGGATCACACCACTGGTTCCAATGTTCAGTCAATCAACCACTGGGTATCTGATTCTTGGACTACTGCAAGGCACTCTACATGGGGTTACACTTGAAGAGCATTCAGAAGATATAACTATCACATAAGGCAGAAACATGGGCAGTTTTGGGTGCCCCTAGAGTGCCTGTAGTTACACCACTGCCCTGCGAGCTATACTATAGCTACCAGTTTACTTCCAATTAAGAGACAATCCCAGCTCCCCACTGTCTATCATACTCCCTTTCTCCCCATCCTTTTAATTGTAATTTTTAATTGTAATTAGAAATATTTATTCTTTGTGGTTTTATTTGCTTTAATGTTCTATGCTGACCATAGTCACAAATCTGAGCTAGGTAGACAGACAGACATTCCAGATGGGCATTGTGACCCATATATGTAGATGTTAAAACTGCTAGTTTCAAAACAATGTATGCATTTTAAAACAAATTGCTGTTTGTAGGGTTCTATGATTAGCATCATAGAGTTTGCCACAATTTGAAGGAGACTTAGAAACCATCTAGCCCAACTCTTTCTTTTTGCAGGAATTAATGTTTCTCTGACTGATTACTTCTCTGTTTTTGCATTAAGACAATCAGTGAAGGGGAGATTGATCTTTACTGGTTAACAGGCTCAGCTCTCATTCTATCTGCTCTCATGTCTCCCCTGGTCCTTCTGTTCACTAGACTAGCCATGCCCATCTCCTGCAACCATTTTTTCATATGTTTTAAACTGCAGTACCCTTATCATCTTGGTTGCTCTTCCCTGCATTCTTTCTACAGCCTCAACATCTTTTTTATAGCGTGGTGACTAATGTGGCTCTCACAGAGACTTGTTGCCTCCAAGAAGACAGATTTTATCAGCATCCATTGAACACTAACTCCTGTCACTTTATGCCACCCTTCAAGTTTATGTTTTAGATAATCCCCCATTTTGGTAAACCTAGTCTGCTTAAATTCTAAAATTTTAGTTTTAGTGTATGTTGTATCAGTTTTAGTTTTAATGTTAAACCAAAGGCCTTGGTGATCACTGGAATCTAAGTTTTCCCCCACCTCAACATCTGGTCCTCTATCCCCTTTTATCAAAACTAAGTCTAGAATATGCCCCCCCCTTTGTTGGGCATTTTACTGTTTTAGCAAGGCACCCTCTAACATATCCCAGCTCCTGATTGTAAGTGCAGTTAAAATATTCCAATTAATGTCATGTGTCTTGATGTTCCTCATGATTACAACCTCTCCCTACATTGCCATCTGGGTTATCTCTTCAACCAGAATGCTATCATAATCCCCTGAATGTCCTGGGGTCCTGTATATGACACCATTTCTGGTGACTCTTTTTTTCCTTTTTAATTCATTAGCAAACCCACAAATTTATCTGGGCCTGTTTTACTTTTGAAGAGAGTAGTAATATTTGGTCTCCCAACTAATAATATTTCAAAGCTAGACAACTGTAGAAGAAAGATTCAAATGTGAAAAGACCACCTGGGATAAGAAACCAAGGTTTCTGATTTTAAAATTCCTGGATGTTTCTCTTCTAGTTCCATTCATTCCTGGAGAAGAATGAGTTTTGCAACTTTTCCCATCAAAAATTTTACTTGGATCTAAATGGAGATGTAGCAGCAGATCTGAATGTCCTAAGCTGGGTGCCTTTGCCCAGAATGGAACCCGTTGACAAGGAAATGGGGAGTTTTGAAAAGCAGAGATTTACTGTAAAAAAAGGTGCTCTATCATGGCTAAACTTGCATAAGAAGGTAGGAGAAATATTGAGTTGGCTAAGTTTCATCACCAAGGTAACTGACTTCACTGAGAATTGAATTGGGGTGGGTAGAAATCTCACAATTGTTAGATTGCTTGGAAGGCTTTAATACTATTGATCAAGGTGTCCTTTACATGCTAAAATTTGGAGCAATGTTTTAAGCTGATGCTGCACTGTTCAACATGGGATGATGGGTGACAATTTTTAGGATTCAGGTCATGGCCCTTTTGTGCATCCTCTGTAATCTGGTATCTCCAGAAAACTAATGAGAGAGGCTGTCAAGTACCAATGATTGTGGTACTGATAGACTCAAATTTGCTTGTTCCTTTTTCTAAAAAAAGGAAAGGCAATTCTGTTAAACAGTTCCCAAGTTCAGGTTTGGACTGAATCCAATGAAATTGAATCATGACTGGATAGATAGCCTCTTGGTCCCTGTAGCAAATATGCCTTGGGATTCAGATTGTCCTGGCTGGGGGCAGTGTCCACATTCAGTAATATGTTGGCCAGTTAAATGCAGCACTGCAGGCTACTGCTAGATCAGCAGGTCAGCGGTTCAAATCTCACCGGCTCAGGGTTGACTCAGCCTTCCATCCTTCCGAG